CTCTTTAGGAGAGGAAAATGATCCAAATGCASTGCTTCCAAGCTGCAAGCTTTCTTCTCCTTGGATTTCTTTGAGAGCATCCCAATCCCTGCATATTTCCAATTTCCTATTCCTGGACTGCAACTCCCAGCAATCCTCCAGATAGATAATTAGATAGGGATAGATAGGTAGGTAGATATATTGATCAGGATGACTGCTGGGAGCTGTCGTCCAAGAATAGGTAGAGAAGGAAGAAAGGGGGAAAAGGAAGGGAAAGAAAAGGGGGGGGGAGGGAAGAAGAAGAGGAAGGAAAGAAAAAAAGGGGTGGAAGGAGAGAAAGAAAGAAAGAAAGAAGCAGAGAAAGCGGGAGGGAAGGTTGGCCACAGCAACACGTGGCAGGTACAGCTAGTCTATAATATGGAGATAATACTAATTTTACTGGGTTGCAATTGTTGTGTAGATCATTGAGGGCAAAAAATGAAGTTTTTTTAAATCTCTAAAACTTTGTGGTCCCCCTAATGTTGAATATCCCAGCAGCTATAGGCCATGAGGAATTCTGGGAGTCATAGTTTCGCAACACCATAGAATGATAGAATTGGAAGAGACAACAAGAACCATCCAATCCAACCCCTGCCACACAGAATAGCAAGGTCAAAGCACCCCAACAGATAGCCACCCAGCCTCTGTTTAAAAGCCCCCAAGGAAGGAGCTTCCACCACACTGAGGCAGAGAGTTCCACTGCTGAACAGCTCTTACAGTCAGGAAGTTCTTCCTAATGTTCAGGCAGAATCTCCTTTCCTGTAATTTGAATATATTGCTCAGGATGCTGAAAAGGTGCAATGTCCTTTTTCCTTCTCCACAGATCAGCTGGTGTGGCAGGCTGCACGTTCCAGCGGAGCTGCGCCAACGTATTTTCGGCCCTTTGGACGGTTTCTGGATGGAGGGCTTCTGGCCAACAATCCAACCTTGGATGCCATGACAGAGATTAATGACTACAACAAGTACTTAATCCAAAATGTATGAGTGCATTCTGCAGACAGATTTTCTGAAATAGTCACTTTTTCCACATTTGGTGGTTTAATTATTGTGGAATCGATTATGTACAGATATGATTAATATGCCCTCTCTAAGAATCTTTAGGGCTTCTGGTGCAACACTGTGGTCTGGCTCAACTGGAAGTTGACCATAGAATTGTGCTGCAGGACCTAGAACAGTGGTTCCCAATTTGTGGGCCCCCAGATGTTTTGGCCTTCAACTCCTAGAAATCCTAACAGCTGGTAAACTGGCTGGGATTTCTGGGAGTTGTAGGCAAAACATTTGGGGACCCATAGGTTGAGAACCACTGACCTAGAGATTCCGAGAGAGGTGTTAGCTTAGACCAAGCATGTCAAACTCATTTTCATTGAGGGCCACATCAGCCTTATGGTTGCCTTCAAAGAACCATTGGATCCATGAGTGGTGAATCCGTGGATACTGAGGGCCAACTTTTTCTTACATAGTTTTCAGTGCTCTTTAGTTTTTACCCAATTTGGACTCACCAGATGTTATTGAATGACAACTCCCATCACTTAGAATTATCCGCCATTCATACTGAGGATCATGAGAATTTCAACCCACCAGCACTTGTAGCTCTGAGATTAGAGAAAGGTTAAAGGGCATTTTAAAGCCAGACATTATATCCACAAGCCTTGTATATATATTCAAACCCAATTCTCTTGAGTAAACAGAACAAATTGCAGCCTTCCAGATGTTACTGTATCACAACTCCCATCAACTGTAGTCAAGATCTCTAAAGATGAGAAATACAGGAGTTGTAGTTCAACATCTAGAGGGCTACATGGTGGGCTAGATTCAGCCTCTGGGCTTGAATTTGACACATGTATATTAGAAAAAAAAGTGTTTTTTAATTTTCCCTTTTCATTGGAGTCCTGCACCGCTGATCAAACAAATGGTCAGGGGTGCAGAAGAAGATGATGGAGATGATGATGATAATTTATTTTTTGGGCCCCCTGGAGGCGCAGTGGGTTAAACCACCTAGCTGCTGAACTTGCTGACTGAAAGGTTGGCGGTTAGAATCCAGGGAGAAGGGTGAGCTCCCGCTGTTAGCCCCGGCTTCTGTCAACCTAGCAGTTCAACAACATGTAAATGTGAGTAGATCAGTAGGTACCACTTCTGCGGGTAGGTAACGGCTCTATGCAGTCATGCTGGCCATATGACTTTGAAGTGTCTATGGACAACGTTGGCTCTTCGGCTTAGAAATGGAGATAAGCACCAACCCCCAGAGTCAGACATGACTAGACTTAATGTCAGGGGAAACCTTTACCTTTATTTATTACCTGCTAAAGGGAGAGGTGGGTAATGAATAAAAAAGAATTATATTTTTATTTAAATGTGGACAGATGACTGATCTGCGGGGTTTTTTTTTTTTTTTTTACTATAAACACATGCATTTTGTATTTACTGTAATTGGAATCCTGCAAAATCTTGCATCATGGCTATGATGATGGAGTCAAGCATTGTATGTTAGAATGTGGCAAGGCAGAGTTTAAGGCAGAGTCATGATCTTTACAAAACAAGATCGCATGGGAAGAAATACCCACATTAAATAAGTCTTTTATTTCAAAATTCGCTTGGAAAATTCAGTACTGCCACTTTACACCTTCTTCTCTATCCACCCAGGGCCAAGGCCACAAGGTGAAGAAGTTGGGAGTGGTGGTCTCTCTGGGGACCGGCAAGGCTCCTCAGGTTCCTGTGAGCTCCGTGGACGTCTTTCGCCCATCCAACCCTTGGGAACTGGCCAAGACTGTTTATGGGGCTAAAGAACTGGGCAAACTGGTGGTGGATTGTGTGAGTAGCGATAGCAGGAAACATGAGTTTGTTGTGGGCTTTGCCATTTGTTAGGAATAGAATCACTTTAACTAGGGAGTTGAGAAATATGAATAACTGAGGCTTTCAGTAGATGTGGAGTCACTTCCAAGCTGCAGTCCAGGCCCTCAGAGTCTACTGAAGATAAAAGGAAGTAGTGCCAAGGAGAAGTACTTTCTTCCTTATCTTCTTCTGGTATTTGTGATGTCAGCCCAGAGGCAGAATCATCCTGTTGGCTATAATTGTGATATTGCTAACCTGAGTATATAAGAACAGTTGTGCACTGTTTTGTTCCTCAGTGGGTAAGATGCCATTGAGAAGGTAAGAATAGGACAGAGATACAATAAAGTTCCCTGGAAACTATATCTCAGCTTGGGGCCTCAATATTGGCGAGAACCTTTCACCCTCTATGTAAACCTGCCATAGAACTGGGATTTGCTGTGGGGCCCTATTCCATGTCCTGGTTGAAATAAGACAGTGATTCTCAACCTGTGGGTCCCCAGGTATTTTGGCCTACAACTCCCAGAAATCCCAGCCAGTTTACCAGCTGTTAGGATTTCTGGGAGTTGAAGGATAAAACATCTGGGGAACCACAGATTGAGAACCACTAAAATAAGACATCATTCGGGACATGGGGGAGAACTTTCTTTGCGTGGTTCCTCATTTGTTGCCACCAATAGCACTTCAAACAAGTTAAAATCTATTCACTGTTTGGTGCTCAGCCTTGCTACTTTTTAAGATGTACATGTACAGGGTTTAAATTGTTTTAGCCTTTTCTTATGCTTTACCCTGGTGATTGTTTTTAAAATTGTTCTAGTATTTCAGTTATTTTCCTATTTAATTTGAACTATATTAAACTGTTTATATAGTTTTGGTTTAATTTATATTTAGGCCCCCAGGTGGCGCAGTGGGTTAAACCACTAAGCTGCTGAACTTGCTGACCGAAAGGTTGGCGGTTCGAATCCGGAGAGTGGGGTGAGCTCCCGCTGTTAGCCTCAGCCTCTGCCAACCTAGCAGTTCGAAAACATGCAAGTGTGAGTAGATCAGAAGGTACTGTTACTGCGGGAAGATAACAGTGCTCCATGCAGTCATGCTGGCCACATGACCCTGGAGGTGTCTATAGACAACGCCGGCTCTTCGGCTTAGAAACCCCCCAGAGTTGGACACAACTAGACTTAATGTTAAGGGGAAACCTTTACCTTTACTTATTCCCTGGTCAAAACTCAGGTATACAAAAAAAAAAACAAAAAACAAAAACAAAAAACAACCCAAGCCAAAATCTCAAGATACCGAGTTCTGCACTCAGCCATTCTGTTGTGCTTTTTTCTCTGCTACTCAGTTCAGTTTGGGTCAAGCAATTAAACCTATTAGTAGCTGCTTTAAAATTTGGGAATGTGAGTTGATGCTTATAGGTTCATGCTACAAATGCTTTTATTTTCGCCTGCATATATGTCAGGCATCCTCAGAGGTTGTGAGGTTGAGAGAGAAAGGAACCTTGGGATGCCCCCCCCCCCCCCCCCAGTATTTAGTACAAATGGTTAATTCCTATTTTGTAGCCTAGTGGTTCCCATGGTTTTACTATCAGCTGTCAAGGACAAAGCTGGCCCCAACGAAATACACCCAGGCCTTGATGTTTTTACAGCAATGCTATGAATGAACCTCTTCAGCCCTGCTGAGGTTTTGCAAATCAGGGCTGTGGCTTCATCTTCAGTAACCTTCTATTTGTCAAGCCCTATTGTCTTTTCATGATACGTTCAAAATATGTATTGTCAAAGGCTTTCATAGCTGGAATCACTGGGTTGTTGTGTGTTTTCTGGGCTGTATGGCCATGTTCCAGAAGCATTCTCTCCTGACGTTTCGCCTGCATCTATGGCAGGCATCCTCAGAGGTTGTGAGGTTGAGAGAGAAAGGAACCTTGGGATGCCTGCCTGTGATGAAGGAAACACATAAAATCTAGGATGAAATTGTCCCCAAATGAAAGCATTCCTTGGGTGGTGGACCTTAGTGTTTGGGGAGGACATTGGCAGAGTTCGGGCTACATGTTCATGGTGAGCGCTATAACCTTCAATGTCAATGGAGGGAATGCCTTTGGAGGGTTCTCAACAGCCTGTTTGTGGAGGCAGGAGGCAGTTTGTGTAAGTGGAGACTTCGGCCACATACACATTTTTCACTTTTATTTATGTGTATATATCATGGTATTGGGACTCTGATTTGAAGGATGACGAATGCAAACATCTTAAAATTACCTTGCTGTTTCTTTGCAGTGCACTGATCCAGATGGTCCGTGTATTGACCGTGCAAGAGCCTGGTGTGAAATGATAGATGCCCACTACATCAGGTAAGTGATTTTTTTGAAGGCATATCTTATGTGAGTTGGAACAAGCAGGGATTGAGCCCTTTAACTTGTTATTGTTGCTAACTGCTGTCAAGTCGACTTCAACTAATATGTTTTAGATTCAGGACTGTCATTTTCTTAACTGTGTGTATCTATCTGGAATTTGTTCTTCCTCTTTTCATCTTTAAGGCTTTCTACCTTAAAAAGTGAGTCATGTCATGATACAGTCAAAGCACAGAAGTCGCATTTTAGCCCAAAGGCTTCTAGGAAGAGTTCAGTCTAGATCTAGCTGATCTTGGAAGATAAGCAGGGTCAGCTCTGGTTAATACTTAGACTGCTAATGGATACCAGATGCTATGGGTACATTTCAGAGGAAGGGACTGGGGAAACCATCTCTTGAGTATTCTTCGCCTAAAAAAGCCCTGTGAAATTCATGGAGTCACCATAAGTTGACAGGTGAATTGAAGGCATAAGCATACACACAGGATGTTAATCATATCTGGATCATGTTTCTATTTCCAAGTATTTTGTGTAAGAGTGAAGAGCCTTTGGATTACACAGATGTTATTGGAATTCATCTCCCAGTAACCCCAGTGAGCATGACCAATGATCAAGGAACATGGGAGCTGTAGTCTAAGACATTTAGAGTGCCAAAGGTTCCTAATTTTTGGTAAAGGTTTTTTCTCTCTCTATTCTTTTGTTAAAGAGGTTGGGCTGACAGGATATGACATAATGCGTCCTGGATTACAGCATGCTGTGAAAAAAATAACTTTGCAGGTGTGGGAATTCAACCCCCACACTGCCCAAGTCTCAAGTCCTCAACGAGGAACAGTTAGTTTAGTATAGACTAAGGGTTTCCCTTCCCCTATGTCTCCTGTATGACAGTTGGAAATCTATCTATATCTTCTCTCCTCTCTGTTTCTGTTGTCATTCTGATTGGTTGTGTAGAATGGATAATTTTCTATTGCAAGCCTTTACTTTGACTTCTGTTTCTTATATCTTTGTATGTGCTGTATGTTTTGAGAGATCTCTCTCTGCTTGTGTTTTTGGGAGAGATGTAGTGATTGGTGTTTTTCCCTCTCTTTGAGACCTTAGAAGAGATGGATGTTAAGAGTAGCTCACATCCAGATCTTTACTATTAAGAAATGCAGTTATTGTATTGTCAAAGGCTTTCATGGCCGGAATCACTGGGTTGTTGTAGGTTTTTTCAGGCTATATGGCCATGCTCTAGAGACATTCTTTCCTGACGTTTTGCCTGCATCTATGGCAAGCATCCTCAGAGGTAGTGAGGTCTGTTGGAACTAGAAAAATGGGTTTATATATCTGTGGAATGACCAGGGTGAGACAAAGAAATCTTGTCTTCTGGAGCTAGGTGTGAATGTTTCAACTGACCACCTTGATTAGCATTTGATGGCCTGGCAGTGCCTGGGGCAATCTTTTGTTGAGAGGTGATTAGATGTCCCTGATTGTTTCTTCTCTGTTGTTTTGCTGTTGTAATTTTTTTAATAGTTTTTTAATACTTGTAGCCAGATTTTGTTCATTTTCATAGTTTCCTCCTTTCTGTTGAAATTGTCCACATGCTTGTGGATTTCAATGGCTTCTCTGTGTAGTTATTGTTTCTTATTATTGTAAATAAACCTTTTGTGATTTTTTAAGATTGGACTCCTCATCTTTGCCTGACTAATTGTTTACAGCCAAAACCAATGGCACTTCACGCTTTGCTAGCTGTGAGCTGTTGCTCAACTTTAAACATCCTGTTTGTTTTTTTGGATGCTCTGCTATATTTTAGGGTAGTTTTCTCTAACAAAAGGGGTTATGGGCTGAGACTGCTTCCACTGCAGCAGATGAGTGAGATTCAGTAAGAAGATAGGTCTGTAGGATAGACAATCCAGAAAGAGGCTTGAGTCTTATCTGCCGTAGTCCCTCACTAAGGCTGTCAAACCCAGCTGTTTGGTTCATCTGAAATGCATTCTCCCTTTTCCCATCTGTTGCATTTGATTTTCTCACCATTTCCTTTTGGCCACTCTCTTTTAGAAGCTGTTTTTGGCTTGCTGTCTCATCCAGAGTTGCTGCGCACAGATAAAATTGCCTCTGTGGTTTCTCTTAACACTTCTGTGACACCTTGCAGGTTCAATCCCCCTTTGGAAGTCGATGTAATGCTGGATGAAGTGAGTGATACGATTCTGGTGAACTTGCTGTGGGACACTCAGCTCTACATTTACCAGCACTGGGAACAGTTTCAACGCTTAGCAGAATGGCTCCTCAATCCTTGATGCTTTGCAAGACTCCATGGTATCAATGTTGTGTGTCTGCAGTTGTGGTTTGGAATATCCCAAAGGACGAGTGGATTCTGCTGAGCTGGGTCTTCCTCCTTCTCAAATCAGGAGATCAAGTGAAGATTTCGACCTGCTGAAAGAACATTTCAGCTCCTACAGTTGTGTACTTGCAGTGACTGCTCTTTTTCTGCGGACCCTCAATTTCACTTTTGTCATGGCATTACATGCCATCTAAACTGATTAGAGTTGGACCATCTCTCTTTCCCTCCTGGCATATGATGGCAGCTGTATTGACTATAACCCTTTGGTTCAATGACTGTATTCTTCGATCCAAATTTTGTATTGATATTTAAGATTAATATATAATTACCTATTTCTCCATTTTTCTTGTCAAATTCAGAGTTTCTCTTGAGTGGGGATCTAAAATTATTTCCTCACATAAGCCAGGGCTAGTCTACTGCAGTTTGTTTTCAGCTGAGATAATATATCTGTCCCACATTGTTACTGTCCTGGGTTGAAAATGTTTGATCTCTACAGCCGGAAAATGACCTGCTACAACTGTCCAGTCCTTTTTCCTGTTTTATGTTCCATTTTACTGACTCCTTCAACCTCTGAATGAGACTATTTTGGTCTTAGCGACATTGAAGAGCACAAGGAAAATGGAAATAATTGGGCAAATGCTTTTTCTAGGTGGCACCTTCTGTTTGCGTTTGCCCACTGACAGAAACGTGGAAGGCTTGCTTTCTCCTGATAAAACTACATTTCCTCAAAAAAATTGATACATGTAGGCCAGATCAAAAAGCAAGGAGGAAACTTTTCTTTCTCCAAAGATTATTTTTTTTAATTAAATGGGGAAAATAGCAACCATCCATGTCTTTTTCTTCCTTGAAGACAAGTCTTTAAAGTGCTGCTGTTCATCATAACTGTAATCTTTTTACATTTACATTATTTAACAGAATATATTGGTTAAATGTCCTAATAAATGTAAAATCTAATAGGTGGTTTTTCCTCCTCCCCCTCCCTTTCTACACTTTTCTGGTTTACATGAAAATAACTGTCAAATTGTGGTGATGTTAAGACTACAAAAGTGTCACAAAATGACTCAGTATTAAATAAAACGAGAGTTATTTGAAACTTGAATTGGTTTGCGCTTATTATGTTATTAGTAATGAGAGACATATTGCTTAAAAGTGCAAATGACTGATAGATTCTCCTCCCTGAATGCAGAGTTTGGAAATCCATAAGCACGTGGACAACATGAAAATGAACAAAATCTGGCTACAAGCATTAAGAAATTCTAAAATCAGGACAGTAAATAAAGAACAACATTCTGAAAACAGGGGAATTCCAAACATGAAACAATCAGGGCCAGGTAACACATCTCAACAAAGGATTCCCTCAGGCAGTAAGCAGCCAGACCTTGAAGCTGAAAGGCTATTCAGTACTAATCAAGATGGCCATTTGCAACATTCACACCTGCCTCCAACAGACAAGAGTTCTTTCTCCTACCCTGGGCATTCCACAATATTTAAACCCAATTTTTCTAGTTTCCAACAGACCTCACTTTGGCCGGAGAACAATAGACTATAATTGTGCCATTGTTAAGATCCCACGTGTGCCTTCCTGCCTATTAGAATTATGGAAAGCCAATGAACATCTGTATAGACAGTTTAGACCAGTGAGATAATTGATTGCTGTATACCAATGAGAATGTGTCTTTAATTCTCTGTCAAAGTGATAAAAGCTTTGAAGCCTCATTTGGGGGTGCGACAGACCTTTTTATGCTCCATGCATTCTGTCCCTATCACTTTAGCCCGCAAATCAGGATATATGGGATTTACAATTATTGAAAACATCCATGAAAATTCCCTTTTAAAAACTACTTCTCCCTCATCACAACCTCTGAGGATGCCTGCCATAGATGCAGGTGAAAGTCAGGAAAGAATGCTTCTGGAACATGGCCATACAGTCTGGAAAACTCACAGCAACCCAGAGTTTGAAAAGTTACTTTGTTGGGTGATAGCTTCGTGAATTTCCATGCTGAACACCAGTAAAGTATCTTTGTTTACATTCATTCACATTAATTTTGAATTGTGACTGTGTTGCATTTTCTTTTTTTAATCAGTAACTCATTGTTAGCTACATTGCTTGTTACTCATTGTTTCCAATATCTGATGCAGTCAATAATAATAATAAATGTTTATTTATTACCTGCCTCTCCTTACAGCTTGAGGCGGGGCACAACATAATTAAAATACATAATTATACTTTCATATATTCCTTAAAAACACATATTACAGCATACACATATTAAAATACATAGGGCAAAATTAAAACACAATAAATATGGAATGTGATTTTAAAATTCATAGGTAAATCTGACTGGGAAGACCAGTAGTTCATCCCAGGGAAAATAACCCAAGGAACCAAAAATGTGGCAAAAGTGCCTCCATGCACATCAGAGATCATTTGGAGATTTCTTGTTTATTTATGGTGTCGGGAGCATGCCAAACAGTTGCACTGCATTTTTAACAAACAAACAAAACAAAGTTTGCAAGCTTGGTAGTTGATTAAATGTCCTTTGACCAGGATATTTGATTTGGAGATGACTTCTTTTTGTTTGCTGTTCTGCTGCTGCATCATCATCTCCGTCTCCTTTTCCTTCTTGATCTTCCTCTTCTTTTTCTTCCTCTGCATTGTAATATAGCACTGTTACCGCACCTGGCACTTTACAAGGGAAAGTTCCTTGCTTTCATGCTCACAATTTAATTAAGGGATGACACAAAAAGAAAAGGAGATGGCAGTGTGAGAAAGAGTTAAGCTCAGCAAATGCTGCCACTTCTCTCCCTCTACAGTCAGGGCAGTGGCAGTTGGGAGAGAGGGAGACCTTTTTGTGGCGGAAATTTATAATTTTTGGACCAGTAGGGACCATCTGTGACCCACAGCATATATTTTGCCCACTTAAGAGTTTGCCCACGACACTCCATCTTAACATAATTATCCCATACAAGAGGATAACCAGCCTGATGACTTTGCAGGAAGAGCCAGACTAGCAATAAATAATTCAAGGTGAAAGTCACATGACCTTTGTGACTATCGCAGGATTCCTCCCTACTTGGTATCTGGTAACACTTCAGGCTCAAGTTCTAACATCCTGAATGGTGAATTATTAAACTCTCCAAGCAGCATTTTCTTCCTGCCATTCTAGAAAGGACACTCCTCCTTTTCCAGCCTAGGTCACAGAAGTGGATTCCCGAGTGTCTCTGAGGATTCTTCATCTTCTCAACACTTCCATTCGTTGTGTGAAAGGACTGCTGGGTCCCCATCGAAAACTTGGAGGGAATGGAGCAATCCTACAGATCGACCATCTCTATCTATAAGGTGAGGTTGTGTGTGTTCAGAAACATCCGAGCCACATTTAACTCGCTAAGAGAAATAAGTGGTTGAGTAAAACTTTTCCACAGTGAAGTGTGGCAGAAATAAAATAAAAATGGGTTGATCTGCTAGATTCTTTACAATTTACCGTACAGATCTCAGGGCAATTGTGTTTTTAAATCGGAGGGTCGGGGATTTTCAACCCAGAAGAGACTATTAGAATGGTAGTTTCTGTCATACTATAAGCAATACAAAATTTAACAAGAACGAAAAACCTGAACTGTATGGATCCTCACAGGTTGAGGCAGGTACCTTCAACCTCTGAGGATGCCTGCCATAGATATGGGTGAAACGTCAAGAGAGAATGCTTCTGGAACATGGCCATACAGTCTGGAAAACTCACAACAACCCAGTGATAACGGCCATGAAATCCTACGACAATACATTGTATGAATGCTGATTGGATTTCAAACCTAATTGTCTATAGATTGGCCTTCCTATTAGGCAGATTGAAGCAGCCTCTTCAACAGATATTGCATGCTTTTGAAGGATAAGAACGTTACACCAGTTTGATTTGCTGTTGTATTTTTTGGCCCAGCAGGCATGTCAAGAGGCATTTGTGATTTTTTTATAATTTGGCTGGCTGCATTGTATCTTAACTCCATCAACTGTGAGGTGCAATTTACTTTTTGACTTCAGGCAGCAAAAACGGTTTGGACTGGCAGTATGAGCGACACTGAGATGGCAAGTGCTCTACAGTATGTTGTAGTCATATTCACTGGAATTATACCACTTTTCACAGAAAAGCAAAGTTTACAAAAATCCACACCTGATTATAGCAGTAAAGATTTTTCTGAGAGCTTGGAAAAATGTATATTTTTGGTTTACAACTCTCACAAAACTTTTGGCAACAGAGCTATTTGAAATTTGTATAAAGCAGCGTTTCTCAACCTGAGGGTCGGGACCCCTGGGGGGGGATCGCGATTAGAGTGTCACAGGGGTCACCAAAGACCATAAGAAGACACAGTATCTTCTGTTGGTCATGGGGGTCCTGTGGGGGACGTTTGGCCCAATTCTATCATTGGTGGGGTTCAGTATTCCCTCCAAAACTCAAGGTCAATGCCCACCAAACCCTTCCAGTATTTTCTGTTAGTCATGGGAGTTCTTTGTGCCAAGATTGGTTCAATTCTATTGTTGGTAGAGTTCAGAATGCTCTTTGATTGTAATTTAATTATAAATCCCAGCAACTACAACTCCCAAATGACAGAATCAATCCCCCCACAACCCCACCAGTGTTCAATTTGGGCGTGTGGGGCATTTGTGCCAAATTCCATCCAGTGAATGAAAATCCATTCTGCATATCAGATACTTATATTAAGATTCACAACAGTAACAAAATTACAGTTATGAAATAGCAACAAACATAATTTCATGGTTAGGAAGGTAGAGAAACACTAGTCTATAGTATGTTGTAGTCATATTCACTGCAATTATGCCATTTTCCATGGAAAAGCAAAGTTTACAGAGATCCACACCTGGTTATAGTAGAAATATTTTCTGAGAGCCTGGAAAAAGATTTGGCAACAGAGCTATTTGAAATTTGTATAAAAGCTAGATTTTTTAAAAGGAGAATTGGTTGTTATTTTGGGATGGCCACACTAAAAAATAAGTTGTCGGGAATGAATGGACAATAACCAATATATTCCAGTCTCCTTGCCAATATGATAAACACACAGAGCCTCCATTGTGTATGTTTAAGTGATTCCTTGAAGGCATTTGGTATTTCTCTTTCACCTACTTGAGATGGAACGATCAAGCAGAGGCAAGAGAAATTGTGTTCAGTTTTGAAGAGATGCAAAGGGTAATCAACTTAATCCAATTTAAGCAAATTATAGCTCTCTGTAATGTTGTCGAAACTACCCTGTTGTAAATGTAAATAGGAATGTGAATATATGAACACGAATATATTTACATTCCTTTGCATACATACCTCTAAATAAGCCCTGTGGAACTTAGTAGGCTTTACACCAAAATAAACATACATAGGATTGCACTATAAATAGCAGGTCAGGTCAAGGACTCGGAGGGTGCATACCATTTAACCTTGGCAACATCTTCTTTGAGATGTGGTAGGCTTGAAATCAAGTCCTGGAGGTGCTTGTGCTCTGTAGTATAATGTTTCCAGTGCTGAGGTGCTCGTTTTCCAGTTTGTCTCCTAGTTGATGTGTGTCAACTGGTTTTTCATATATGTGCCTTTGACTAATGGCTGATCTGGCTGGACATACTCTTGAGAGCTTGCAGGATCAAATCCCCAGGACTTTTTAATTACTGTAGAGCAGAAGTGTCAATGTTATGGCTCTCCAGATGTTTCAGACTCCAACTACCAGAAGCCCTAGCCAGCTTGTCCAATTGCCAGCAATTCTGGGAAGTGAAGTCCAAAAACATGGAGGATCACTAGTGTAGACCTGACTACTGTGTGCAAGACTCCTTGGGTTCTCCTTTTCCCTCTCACTTTTGCCGGCATGTCCTCTTTGTTTAACTGGAATCTCCACTTTAGCTGAATGGGTTATATATGAATAATATATCACTAATATATTATCCCTTAAGTTAAAGAGAAGATTCCAATTAAGCAAATATATGGTATTGGGGATAGTTCACACTAATGCATTAGTAGTAATATATTAGTATGAACTATCCCTCTTGCAATTCAGTCTTTTGGTGTGGCTTAGTCTTGGGTAGGCAAGACCTCTTAGCATTACAAAAGATTTCTTATTGGTTGAGATTAAAATTACTACCGTAGCAATGATTTCGTACATATAATAGCTCAGAGTTGGCAACTGCAGAGCTTGTGGGAAAGTGGTGCCAGTATACCGCTTGCTCCTCCCAGTCTAACTCTCGGTGAGCCTGACCAAGACACCCATCACTTCTGGGTTCTTTCTTTGGCTGTGTTTTCCCCATTTTGCTATTTTGGGGACATGGGGAGAACTTGGACAGGGACAAACCTGCTGTGTTTTCCATTGGCTGTGACCCACTTTGAGCATTTTGATGTGTTATCGCATACAGCATTTTTGTTGAATCTGGGAATTTTGGTGCCACTATTAACAGTAATGAGGATCAACACAGCTGCCTGAACTTTTGGAATTTTCCTGAGTCTCCCCATAGGGACTCAAGACAAGAGCCTTTGCTTCAACATTTCTCATTGGACCACTGATAACATCTGGACCCAATTCATAGGCAGAGGAGTGGGTTGGGGAAAGATGGCACCAGGAGAATGAATCATTCCTGCTATCTCCAAAATAATTGTCCACATGCCAATTTAGCTTGTGACCAGTGCTTCAGGGACCCTGTTGCATATACCCTATTTTGGCTGATTACACAATAATAATAATAATAATAATAATAATAATAATAATAATAATAATAAACACAATCAGCGCTGACAAAATTACCATATGCCAGCTGCAGAAGTCCACCTTACTGGGATCTGCACACATTATTCGCTGATACATCACATGTCCGACCTAGACACTTGGGAAGTGACTTGACGTGTGATCCAATACAACAGCCAGCAGCTGCTGTGGACTTGTCTTGTGTTTCAAATAATAATAATCATCATCATCTTTATTTATATTTTGCTTTGTCTCCCTGGAGAAACTCAGAGCAGGTTACAGTATACTAGGATCATTACTGGACTTATTTTAAGAGATAGCAAAACAAGCCTTGAAAAAGTTCAGCTTTTGGATTCTCAGCATCAGGGGAGTTCTGGCAGTGCTAGTCCAAAAAACCCCAGAATGGGGATTTCCAAGCTTTATTTCTACCAACCAGAACCACTACAGGTTGAATATTTCTAATCCAAAATGCTTGGAACCAGAAGTGTTTTAAATTTCTGGTTTTGTTTTTGCATTTTGGGATAGGTAAAGGTTTTCCCCTGACATTAAGTCTAGTCATGACCGACTTGGGGTTGGTGCTTATCTCCATTTCTAAGCCAAAGAGCCGGCCTTGTTCATAGACACCTCCAAGGTCATGACAGCATGACTGCATGGAGCGCCGCATTTTGGGATACCTATGCCATAATTGGGTTTAACCACAAAATTTGTTTTTATCTTATGTACACATTTATATACAACACCTGAGGCTAATTTCACACAATATTTTAAATACCTTTTTACATGTAACAAAGATCATTTTAATTGAATCATCAGAAAGCAAAACTGTCACTATCTCAGCCATCCATGGGGACAATTTTGGATTTTGGAATACTGTATGTTGGATTTTAGAAAGAATGCTCAAACTGTGTTTGATTTGTACCCACTAGGTATTTAAAGTGATTTGATTACTTTCTGAATTTCAAGCAAAACATGGCTGGGCACTTTGCCCACAATTCTACCACTTATTTTTCTCAAAGCTCTATATGAGAGATGTATTACACTAATCTGGCACTTTCCAGATTTGTTGGACAAAATCTCCATCATCCTTGATGATACAGTAATGCCTGATCATATTGGGAATTGTAGCCCAAAGCATTTAAAGTGACTGAGGGGGGAAAGGAAAGGGCCTGAGGCTGTTAGGAATGGTGGGAGTTGAAGTCCAAAACACTTGGAGGGCCCAAGTTGGCCCATGCCTGATTTAAAGGATACCAGGTTGTGGAGGTTTTTTATATTTTAATTTAGGTTTTGTATACAATATTCCAACTGTAGAAAATCACAATTTTTCCACAATTCCACAATGAGAAAATATTTACTGTAGCTTATGCCAACTTTTAAATAGATACTGGCCACCTACCAAGGGATAACATCTTTCGAGTAGTGCAACAAAATAGACCTTTGATTTTGGATCTCCATTTGCACTAAACCTGTGAAAGAATACTTTGTGTATGTTTTAAAAACTTTTCCTTATAATTTCACAGAGTATTCTAGAGCAGTTCAACCCAACTCTGGAGAATCTGATATATCTTGGTAACAAGTATGTGCGAGCTTTTCGTGGTGAGTACTGAAGCTATGCACTTGGTTGGTCAATTAGTAGTTTTAAGATTGTGTCCACATACAGGTGGCTGGAGGGCTTGGAAAATATGAAGTTTTTTTGAACTAGAATTTTCAGGATCATAGAGCCAGCACGGCCACTTCAGGCAGTTGTTACTCTGCGACAAGCACATAAGCAGAAACAAGGGGCATGTCCCCCAACATTTCAGAAATGGGACACATTTGGCACAAACAGAATGTGGTCAAAATGCCAAAAGTTATGAATGAAGAAGAATGCAGAGAGAAGATTGCTTTTGCTTGAGCCTACTCAGAGGGGTATGATTTCACTTTCTTCTCCTGGCATTTAGTTAACTACTGTATATACTCGAGTATAAGCCCACCCAAATATAAGCAGAGGCACCTAATTGGAAAAACTGGGAAAACATATTGACTCGAGTATAAGCCAGGGGTGGGAAATGCAGCAGCTACTGGTAAATTTCAAAATAAAAATAGATACCAATAAAATTAGATTAATTGAGGCATCAGTAAGTGAAATGTTTTTGAATATTTACATAAAACTGTAATTTAAGATAAGACTGTCCAACTCTGATTGAAGCATTATTCTAACTTTCTTCAAAGTAAATGTGCTTACATATCCTTCCAATAATACTAGAGTGAAATAATGGAAATGTAATAAAAATGATAATAATAGAATAAAATAATGGAAATGTAATAAAAATGATAATAATAGAGTAAATAATAAATGTAATAATAATAGAGTAAAATAATGGAAATGTAATAATAGAGTAAAATAATAAATGTAAAAAAATAATATTAATAACAGAGTAAAATAATAAATAACCTTAACTTGAGTATAAGCTGAGGGGAGCTTTTTCAGCCTAAAAATGGGGCTGAAAAATTAGGCTTATACTTGAATATACACAGTACTTGTTGCACTTTGGATTCAGTTTGCAGCAACTGAAGACAAAGGGAGAAAGTGAGAGAAGAGAGAAACAAGGACATTTTAAAAAGAGCTTGAAACAATGTGAAGACAGAAGATTAATTGGTATTGTCCTTGCCAGACTAGGACAGTTGGAAGGATGGAGCTAAAAGAAGGTGCTCTGAAGGGTTTATTGAAGCCAGTGTTTGGATAAATCACTTTTTGGCCTGGATCGGAGATAGTTGGTGTTGTATTCTAAAACATAGCTGACAAAAGTTAGTGCAAGCCATACTGGCTCCTTGCAGAACCCTGGAGTGTCCTCCAGTTTCATCCTCCCGCTTTCAATAAAATTTGAAAGTCAAAAAGAGTTAAAGGTGCTTGCAAAATAGCCAATTGTTCCCCAAAGATTCCAGGTTTAGAATAATGGCCATCCCATGAATAATGAAAACTCAAAACCAAAATTTGGAGGGCCATTTTCAGGGCAAAACAAAATTACCCTTCAAATTTGGGAAGAGGCATGGGGACAAGGATGGGATGGGGAGGGAAATTTCCCAGTATCTGTTGCATTTCAAAGACTGCAAGAGAACTATTATTTAGGTCAAGATGCGCTCTGGCTGATTTATTGTCTTGTTTGAATAGATGAGAGCTTTCATTATAGGTGTGAGTATAAAAATCAGCATGAAATGGTATGAGCTGTAAAGAAGGATAATTAAAATGAGAAATATATTAGTGATGGGAATACTCATCTAAACTTTCTCCTTCTGAAAAAAATTATAGCATTATCAGAGGCTGCAGAAGTCTATTTCTCGGCAATCCAAAAGATTGGGGAACAAGCCCTACAGAGCTCCACCTCACAAATACTGGGTAAGATTCTTGCTGTTCTCTTTCTGGTTTGCAGCATCATGTCCCAAACCTATCAATGACACACTAGGAGTTGGCATCACTTTTTCTGTCTGAGCCCCTATTGCTTTTTCTATGAGAAACAGAAATGTTCAATACCCAGAATGTTCCTTGACTTTGAAATTAATCTGGCCAAGAAGCATATTGTCTCTTCTTCTTTTGACCAGGTTGAGAAATTGATAGAATTTGATTAGGCAGGCTGTGTGATGAAACACAGTTACCCTAGTTCTGCTGACGCATGTCTTTGGTCCAAGTGATTCTTCTCCAGATTCTGTGTGCAAAAGATTTGGCTCATGCCAGGGAGGGCTGTGTGGACAAGAGAGACCCATCTAGTTATCTGATGTATTGGAGGAAGCCCGCTCATGATGAGAGTTCAGTTGGCCTCCTCTGAAGATAGATATATCCATTTGGAGAGGCTCAATAGTAGCAAAACTAGCATGAGGTGCCACAACTGGGAGACGAGAACATACCACCCCAAGTAACCAAACCAATCTAAAGTTGACCAAAACTTATTTATAACCCTTTTGGTACTAATGTTGGAGAGTGGTCCCTGGTCAAGTGGTCCCTGGTCAATAAAAGATTGGGAACCACTGATCTAGGGTGAAGCCGGCGCATGCTGCCGCCTCGGCAACACAGGAGGACTCCTGTGTTGCCATAGGAAGCAATGAGGGGAAGCTGCTCAGTTGACGCTTCCCCCCATGGGATCAAGAAAATCAAACCAAATCAATCTTGCATCACCAATCAGGTGATGTAAGGTGTGGAGATCTCCACGCCCCCCCTCTCGAGGGTCACCGGATTCGCCATGATGCTTGACGATTCTGGTAGCCATGTGACAAAGTCCTTAGCATCACGGATTGAGTATCCCTTATCCAGAATGCCAAAATCCAAAATACTCCAAAATAGGAAATTGGCTGAGATAGTGACACCTTTTGCTTTCTGATGGTTCAATATACACAAACTTTGCTTCATGCACTGTATTTAAAATATTGAACAACATTACTTTCAGGCTATGTGTATAAAGTTCAAATGAATTTCATGTTTATACTTGGGTCTCATCTCCAAGATACAGTATTCTATCGTCTACATACATGCAAATATACCAAAATATGGAAGGGGGGGGGCGGAATCCAAAACACTTTGGGTCCCAAGGATACTCAGTCTATATTATCAATTCCCTTTTACTGCTAACAGTCCAGAAAAGGGATGTCTTCAAACTCTGTCACAGAGTTGTAAAATTATGGTGTTGGAAGGGACCTCATGGGCCACTGAGTCCAACTTCCTACTTAATGCAATCTAGGCAAAGCATCCTCAGCAGGTAGTTGCCCAGCCTCTTTTTGAAGATTTTTTCTTTTGTGTCAAGAGCAACTTAAGAAACTGCAGGTCGCTTCTGGTGCGAGAAGCAACTTGCAGTTTCTCAAATTTGGATGTTTTACCATCCTGTGGGAGGCTTCTCTCATGTCTCTGCATGAGAAGCTGGAGCTGACAGATGGGAGGTCAACCCGCTCCCTGGATTCGAACCATCAACCTTTTGGTCAGCAGTCCTGGTGGCACAAGGGTTTAACCCATTGCACCACAGGGGCTCGTTTTTTGAAGATGTGACTACAGTTAGCACCAGAAAGAAGGAAGAAGATATTTTAAAAGGTTCCTTAACTGGAATAATTGTGGAAGATATCCCTTATGACTCCCTAAGGACTTCACTTCTTTCCAAAGCTTAAGGGAAGCTTAAACATGATTTATTTCCTCCTTTGTGACTGATTTTCTATGGGAAATGAGGCTCACAAAAATGTGCTAGTAGGCTACAGGTAGCTCATGGGCTTCAGTTTTTCCATCCTTTTAAAGCAATGTGTTACATTCAAATTACAAATGGAAGAAATATGGTTTTTACTGCTATATGTAAAATGTGTTTTTTAAAATATATATATAAGGAATTAATTAATTCATTCATAATTTTATTTCTTACCTGCCTCTTCTCATGGCTCGAGGCGGTTATAGAATATTTAAAACACATAAAGATTGCAAAAACACTTTCCCCTGATCTCTTCTTTATTAAGCCAGAATCATATAACCACATTCTTGAGTGGAAACCCCCTATTCAAGGCAGCTAACAATAAAAGCAACTTCCCCCTTTTTTCCACACAACCCTATATCCCAGAATATCAAGGCAGAAAATCCCACATTATCTGCTTTCAACTGGAATATATGGCAGTGTGGACTCAGATAACCCACTTAAAAGCAGATATTCTGGTGTTTTCTGGGGTATATGGCTGGGTGGAAAGGCCCTCAATCTATTCACAACAATCAATAAAACAATTACGGTTGGACCTTTAGTCCATAATTAGATAACGCTATGCATGGGATGATATATATCACTAATGCTTAATGGCAGGAAGTTGTTTATTGTATCCTCTATATCATTATTTCCTGAGGGCAAAGTTCTTTGTGTGTCTTTATTTAATGTTATATCAGTCATACAGATTAGCCTGTTTCCCTTCATGATAATTTCATGCAAGTTTATTAATAATTCCATTCTGCCCAATTTTTTCATTGATCTGCATTGTCAAACATCCACACCAAAAAATGCTCTAACCATACTTATTAAAATGTGTTAGAAGAAAAATGTCTATGATGATCTTTCCCTCTTTTTCTCTTTTTTTCAACTCATCCTTGGACCTATTTGAAGGTGAAATATTGATACAGATGTCTGACACCCAAATGCACTTGAACCGCAACCTGGAAGTAGTAGTGAGTATCTCGAAGGGAAATATATGCAACAGAAGGAGGCTGTGCAGGGAAACTTTGATGGGAATAATAATAATAATAATAATAATAATAATAATAATAATAATAATAATAATTTCTTACCAGCCATTCCTCGTGGCTCAAGGCAGGTTAAAACATAGCTAAAAACAATATAATCAGTATCTAAAACACACATATTAAAACATATTTCTATAAAATGCATACAATATATCAAAATACACAGAATAAAGATAAAAATAGAGTTTAAAATTCATGATTAAAACCGACTGGGTAGGCCTGTCGGAAGAGATAGGTCTTCAGAAGTGTTTTAAATTTAGCAGAAAGATCTGTTCACCATAGTCATGTGAAGCTAACTTGTTTGACTTATATTCTACATAATAATGGAAAACAAGATATTGACTATACATGCATGTAAACAATGAAATTGCACATTAGCCTTCCATTTCCATGGATTCTGCATTCACAGATTCAACCATGCATAACTTGAAATATATATATAAAGGTAAAGGTTTCCCCTTTACATTAAGCCCAGTCATGTCTGGCTCTGGGGGTTGGTGCTCATCTCTATTTCTAAGCCAAAGAGCTGACATTGTCCATAGATGCCTCCAAGTTCATATGGTGGCATGACTGCATGGAGCACCATTAATTACCTTCCTCAAAGGGGTACCTATTGATCTACTCACATGTACACGTTTACAAACTGCTAGGTTGGCAGAAGCTGGGGCTAACAGTGGGAGCTCACCCCTCTCCCTAGATTCAAACCGCTGACCTATCAGTAAGCAAGTTCAGCAGCTCAATGATTTAACCTGCTGCACTACCACATGCATATACAAAAAGCAAACATTTTATACAAGGTTCAACATTTTACTATGCCATTGAATATACAGTAATAAGATTTGAGCATAGACAGATTTTGGTAACTATTGAGGGGTGTGTGTGTTCTGGAACCAAACCCTAGAAAATACCAAGGATCCACTAAATAGGTATTTGCGTCAGAAATTGCCATTGGTTATACATATAGCCCATGATGCACAAATTCATCATCAAAATATGTGATATGCTTCATGGGCAGATAACTAAGAATTCTGTAGTGCTGTTGTTTATTTTGTTGTTGTTGTTAAGATAATAAATAAATTATTATGCCAGGTGAACAATGAATGTCATTGTTTCTGACAACTTTCTCTCTTTTTCTCTTGAGCAGGCACAAACCTTTCACGTGGACCTACTGCAGCATATGGAGAAAAACACCAAGCTGGACATGAACTTCATCAATGTGAGTGTCAGCCTGGCTCTGACTTGTCTCCTTTGTGCCTCATTGGCGGCACCTGAAGAGCCAAAGGCTCACAAAAGCATGGTTCTTTGCTGCCTGCATGAGTGGTGGCGACTTGCAGACTGCCATAAAGTTGTACTGCTTAGATGTTTTCATGATTGGCATGGCATAGTCGTTCCCAACCCCCTTTTTTGACCAGGAACCACTTGACCAGGGACCACTTTGACCAGGGACCACTCTCCAATATTAGTACCAAAAGGGTTACGAATCAGATTTTGGTCAACTTTAGATTCAGTTTGGCTATTTGGGGTGCTGATTCAGAAAATTGCATTGGATAGACCACATCAGCTTTAGTTTCTGATAGTTGCATTGGATAGACCACATCAGCTCTAGTTTCTGACATGCCATCAAGTAGTAGCCATCTGCTCACCCACAGAAAGCAATATTTAATAAGCCTCAGCACTGTAAGAGTGTTTCACTCTCGTTGCAACGGTGAGGCCACGGACCATATTTTAGTTCTTGTGGACCATTAGTGATTCACGGACTAATGGGTTGGGAACCACCAGCATAGAGTAACTGCTAGCTTTTGAAATGGCTATAGCCCACAATAGAGCCTGGCAGAAGTTACTTTTAGGACTACAACTCTCACAATCAACTTCTGTGTCAGTTAAGGAGATGTCCTCAAAAACAGTAATTGAATAGTAACTTTTCCAAGTTTAGGACTAGAAGTGTCTTGAACATTTATTTTGGGATTCTAGCTTTTTTTCTGTCTGGAATTCAATCTTTTGTTTTATTCTTCCTATGTCTGCTCCCATAGGACAGTCGGCAACGATATGAGAAGGAATACCGGCGCAGAGCTGCCAACATAGATAAATGCATGTCGGATCTCTGGAGAATGGAGAGAACTCGAGACAAGAATGCCCGGGAGATGAAGGTGCGGAACAACACAGAGATGAAACCAAAATAAAACCTGGGATATTTTTAGTGTTAAAAATACACAAACCCAGGAACGAATTATTAAAGCACACTAACAAGCTAAAACAGTAGGAAACAATAAGTAAAATATAATAAAAGCACAGTCAAATTTTTGTTTCCAAAAAAAAAAAAAGAGAGAACAGAGTAATGTAAACTATATGCTTAGAAAAGACAGTGTGATGTTGAATGTATTGTTGAAGGCTTTCATGGCTGGAATCACTGGGTTGCTGTGAGTTTTCCGGGCTGTATGGCTATGTTCCAGAAGTATTCTCTCCTGACATTTTGCACACATCTATGGCAGGCGTCTTCAGAGGTTGTGAGGTCTGTTAGAAACTAGGCAAATGAGGTTTATGTATCTGTGGAATGTCCAGGATGGGAGAAAGAACTCTTATCTGATTGAGGCAAGTGTGAATGTTGCAACTGGCCACCTTGATTAACATTTAATGGTGTCTTGCAGCTTCAACAACATTCAGCATGCTCGGATGTAGGCCCTGGCAAGGCCTACTGCCGAGTGTGGAGTGCCGAGTAAGAGGCACTCGGTGCTTGGCCGTGGACCCTGCCAGAGCCTACAGCCAAGCGCACCAAGCGCCTTGCATGCTCAGATGTAGGCCCTGGCAGGGCATACAGCCAAATGCACCAAGCGCCACAGAATCATAGAGTTGGAAGAAACCTCATGGGCCATCCAGTCCAACCCCCTGCCAAGAAGCAGGAAAATTGCATTCAAAGCACCCCTGACAGATGGCAATCCAGCCGCTGCTTAAAAGCTTCCAAAGAAGGAGCCTCCACTACACTCTGGGGCAGAGAGTTCCATTGATGAACACCAAATAAGAAGCACTTGGCATTTGGCTGTTGTAGTCCAAGAACAGTCCCTAGCAGGGTCTAAAGCCAAGCGCTGAAAATCAGCTGCTCAAAATGTTACAGGTCCATTTACCTTTCGGTTCACCAATTATTCTGAACAGGAGAGGGGTGTACCATTTTGTGCCATCCGGATGAACGGTACGAAACAAAAACACGAAATAAACAAATGAGACAAATACCGGACCCATGACTAAAAGATAGCCACCCAAGCTCTGTTTAATGAAAACGAATGTCTCAAAAGTCCTTCATTATATCGAGTATTGATGTTCGCATTTGTATTATCTCTGTTGTTATGGTTACTTCAACAGCCTTCTGTCCTCCACGATAACGCACAAATGCACTTTATGATCTGTGACACACTGGAAGGATTAAGGGGGATTGAAGGGCAGAACCCACAGGTCCTAGATGCCTACAACAATGTCTGTCGTTATATGCTAACAGCTGAGATAGCAAATGAGGACCAGGGAGGGAATGCTCCCGGGGTAGGGGGGTTCGCAGGTGGGGGGGCTGCTATAGAGGTGGTGACAGGTAGAGGAAGATACGGGAAAAGGAGATTAAACCATTCATTTCGGCCCAAAATTCACAACAACAATTCGATAAATCTAAAACATAGGAAGGATCTGAGACAAAAGCAAATCTGGCCCAAAATCTACAATAGAACATTGGCAATTCCAAAAATTATCGATTCTACAACTCAAAAAACAATTTGGCCTAAAAATAATAAGAATGCATTGGCTACCCCAAAAAACTCTCCCGACAAGATACAGCTGAGATGCCAGGAAGGTGGTCCCTCTGGGTTAAGGATGGTGCTGTTCAATGCCAGGTCGGTCAATGGAAAGACCTCCACTATTCGAGATCTAATTCAGGAAGAACAAGCGGATCTAGCATGTATAACAGAGACCTGGCTAGATGAGGGGGGAGGGGTGAATCTCACCCAACTATGCCCACCTGGCTATTCTGTGCAGCACCAGCCAAGACCCGGAGGGCGGGGAGGAGGAGTTGCAGTGGTCTATAAGGATTTTATCCCCTTGATCAGGCGCCCCATCCCACAATCATCATCATTTGAATGTGCCGGCTTTAGGTTAGGTGACCGGGACAGGATAGGGATTCTGTTAGTGTACCGACCACCCCGCTGCACGACAGTCTCCCTACCTGAGCTAGCAAATGTGGTCTCGGATATGGCGTTGGACTCCCAGTGACTTTTAGTCCTGGGGGATTTCAACGTCCATGCCGAGACCACCCTTTCAGGTGCAGCTCAGGACTTTATGGCCGCCATGGCAACCATGGGCCTGTCCCAATTAATATCTGGTCCCACCCATACGGCCGGTCACACATTGGATTTGGTTTTTACTCAGGGATGGGGTGATAGTGCTGGGGTGGAGGAGCTAACCATCGCTCCGTTGCCATGGACCGACCACTACCTGATCAGGTTTAGACTTACTGTACCTCCCAACCTCCGCAGGGGTGGTGGACCCATTAAAATGGTCCGCTCCAGGAGACTTATGGATCCAAATGGATTCCTGACGGCTCTTGGGGATTTTCCCACCTTCCTGACTGGTGATTCTATCGACGCCTTGGTCTCTCACTGGAATTCTGAGATGACCAGGGCAATCGATGTAATCGCTCCGGAACGCCCCCTCTCGAGTAGCCGGGCTAACCATGCCCCTTGGTTCACTGAGGAGCTGGCAGCAATGAAGCGAAAGAAGAGGTGGTTAGAGCGCGTGTGGCGCCAGAATCCCACTAAATCAGCCCAAACACATCTGAATGCCTTCACAAGGTCCTATGGTGTGGCAATAGTGGCAGCACAAAAAACATCCTATGCGGCCAGTATTGCATCGGCGAAGAATCGTCCAGCTGAGCTCTTTCGAGTTGTCAGGAGTCTATTAAATCCGCCGGAAAGCGAGATCCCTGACAGCTCGGGAGCTCGCTGTGAAGCATTTTCTCGATTCTTCACAGATAAAATTGCGCTGATTCGGTCGGGATTCGACGCCACTTTAAATGCAGTCTCTGAGGATGTGATGAGAGCATCTGCTTGTCCGGTTTTATTGGATTCATTTCAATTGGTTCAGCTTGAGGATGTGGACAGGATCCTTGGGGAGGTGCGACCCACCACATGCATCCTAGACCCCTGTCCATCCTGGCTGATTAAGGAAGCCAGAGGGGGTTTGGCAGAGTGGGTGAAAGTGGTGGTTAATGCCTCCCTTCGGGAGGGCATAATTCCAGCGAGCCTAAAACAGGCTGTTATAAAACCGCTGTTGAAAAAACCATCACTGGACCCCACTCAATTAGACAACTATCGGCCAGTTTCCAATCTCCCCTATTTGGGCAAAGTCATGGAACGTGTGGTGGCAACACAACTCCAGGGATTTCTGGTAGACACTGATTATCTAGATCCGGCACAGTCTGGCTTTAGACCGGGACATGGAACGGAAACAGCCTTGGTCGCCTTGGTAGATGATCTGCGCAGGGAGCTAGACAGGGGGAGTGTGTCCCTGTTAGTTCTGCTGGACCTCTCAGCGGCCTTCGATACCGTCGATCACGGTATTCTTCTGGGACGCCTCACAGAGATGGGACTTGGGGGTACTGCTTTGCAGTGGCTCCGGTCCTTTCTTGAGGGACGGTCCCAGAAGGTGTTGCTGGGTGACACCTGTTCGGCTCCACAGCCGTTGTCATGTGGAGTCCCTCAGGGTTCAATTCTGTCCCCAATGTTGTTTAACATCTACATGAAGCCGCTGGGGGAGATCATTCGGAGTTTCGGACTGAAATGTTATCTCTACGCGGATGATGTCCAGATCTGTCACTCCTTCCCACCTGTCACCAAGGAGGCTGTCCAGACCTTGAATCGGTGTCTAGCTGCTGTGTCGGACTGGATGAGAGCTAACAAATTGAAATTGAATCCAGACAAGACAGAGGTCCTACTGGTCAGTCGTAAGGCCGAACAGGGTATAGGGTTACAGCCTGTACTGGATGGGGTTACACTCCCCCTGAAGTCGCAGGTTCGCAGCTTGGGAGTGATCCTGGACTCATCGCTGAGCCTGGAACCCCAGGTCTCAGCGGTGGCCGGGAGAGCTTTTGCGCAATTAAAACTTGTGCACCAGTTGCGCCCGTACCTCGGGAAGTCTGATCTGGCCACAGTGGTCCACGATCTTGTCACATCCCGTATAGACTACTGCAACGCACTCTACGTGGGGTTGCCCTTGAAGACTGTTCGGAAACTCCAACTGGTCCAACGAGCGGCAGCTAGACTGCTTACTGGAGCGACATACAGGGAACACACCACCCCCCTGTTATGTCAGCTCCACTGGCTGCCGATTCAGTTCTGAGCACAATTCAAGGTGCTGGTTTTGACCTACAAAACCCTTTACGGTTCCGGTCCAGCGTATCTGTCCGAACGTATCTCCCTCTACGTCCCATCTCGGAATCTGAGATCATCTGGGGAGGCCCTGCTCACGACCCCACCGCTATCACAAGTGAGGCTGGTGGGGACGAGGAGCAGGGCCTTCTCAGTGGTGGCCCCTCATCTGTGGAACTCACTCCCGGGGGAAATCAGGGCTTCAACTTCCCTCCTTGCCTTCAGGAGGAAGGTAAAGACGTGGCTCTGGGACCAGGCCTTTGGGCACCCTGACAATTAGACATGGAACCAGAATGATAGGACCAACAATGTGTGGAAAGTAGAACCTAACTATGAGTCGGTTAAACGCTGACCAGCAATGAGGTTTGTATTGCTTTTATTGTTTTAATCGTTTTTACGGGTTTATGGCTATTCCTGCCGATAATATTGATTGTTTACGTTAATTGTTATCAGTGTTATAATTATTGTTGTTATTGATGTTATGTTTTTGATGTTATGTTTTTGTAATACAGGCATCGAATTGTGCCTTGTTTGTGTAAGCCGCCCTGAGTCCCCCCGGGTGAGAAGGGCGGGGTATAAGCAACCGTAATAAATAAATAAATAAAATTATCTCCTTTCTCTCCCTATAATTCCAGGAGAACATGATGCACCTGCACACAGAGATGGAAGCTTTTGTCAACGAGAGTCAACAGTCTGCTGAATTGGAGGAGAAACGGCGTTATCGTTTTCTAGCAGAGAAGCACCAGCTGCTCTCCAATACTTTCCTACAGTTCTACACCAGGGTGAGGAGAGGCAGATATAAGGGAGGGGAGGAATAATCCCCTCTTGCCAGGAAAACATCATAGCTTTACTAAGTTAGAAGTGACTTGGACATGCAACAATACCATGGAGAGAATTGTCCATTTATTTAGATCTATCAATGATATTTTCATGTGATATTAAAGGATCGTAGTAGGAGATCTTTTGGTGGAGGGAGCAAGGGCGCATGAAATTTCAGATTAAGTAAAAGATCCAGTGGTTCCCAGATGGCAGCCACAGGCTTAGCAAGTGCATGCTCATTTTCATATCTTACAGCATGTAGTCTTAAACATCCAGCATTTAAAATTTGAATGATGTCAACTTTCTATTGTTCAAGAGACAGAGAAAAACAAGAAATATATACTATTTTCTTATCTTCCTGCCCTTGTTTTCTGTACTGAAGGTCAAATGTGATTCACTTAACCTGATCATGTCTATAGTTAACCCAATGAATTATTTGATTTCAGTTTTGGGTTTAGTTTTAAAAGGGTGATTTCCAAATCTCTTTGATATTGTGCCAGAACACAACTATTTTATACTCTTGATCAAGAGACTGAGTGATATGGTGCTTCTTTGATCATGAAATTTTAAAGCATGATGAAGAGGGAAGGCTTTTCTGTGGCACATATAACTTGGAGAAGGCTGAGAGGAGATATGATAGCCATGTATAAATATGTGAGAGGAAGCCACAGGGAGGAGGGAGCAAGCTTGTTTTCTGCTTCCTTGGAGACTAGGACGCGGAACAATGGCTTCAAACTACAAGAGAGGAGATTCCATCTGAACATTAGGAAGAACTTCCTGACTGTGAGAGCCGTTCAGCAGTGGAACTCTCTGCCCCGGAGTGTGGTGGAGGCTCCTTCTTTGGAAGCTTTTAAGCAGAGGCTGGATGGCCATCTGTCAGGGGTGATTTGAATGCAATATTCCTGCTTCTTGGCAGGGGGTTGGACTGGATGGCCCATGAGGTCTCCTCCAACTCTTTGATTCTATGATTCTATGATTCTATGATTCTATGGTTGAAACCCATATTCTTGCCATTTTGCTTTGTATTAAGTGGTGGCTCTTACTCCCTGATTTCCTCTCTGTCAATATATTTCCAAGTTTCTACAGTATTTTCTTGTCTTTACTTCTGCTAAGGCCCGGGTCATCCTTCAAAGCAAGGTACCACTGTGGAAGGAGCAGCTGGAGGCCACCCGCAATCCTACCCAGAACTTGCTTTCCACAGCCCACAGCCCGGGTCACCCAAGTGGCCGCTTGACTCCCACTCACATGGAGATGGTAAGAAAGACGAATACAGCTCACGGAACTTTAGAAGGGAGAATTCCTACTTCCAGGATAGAACAGCCAAGGGCAGGAGACAAAAGATTTTCAGAGGCTATGTGGCATTTTGTAGGGAGATTTCAAGATGCAGGAGAAGTCAGCCCAAATGATGTTGGGGTTGCAGTTGTCTTCTTTGTAAGGAGAGGATACACTTTAGAAGCTTTGTAGTTTGGCAGAAAGGGTGTTATCACATCATCCTGTCATACTGTCACAGCAATGCATTAGATCCGTGGTTCTCAACCTTCTTAATTTCACAACCCCTTAAAACAGTTCCTCATGTTGTGGTGACCCCTCCCCACCATAAATTATTTTTGTTGCTACTTTATAACTAATTTTGCTAGTATTATGAATCGTAATGTAAATATCTGATATACAGGATGTATTTTCATTCACTGGACCAAATTTGGTACAAATATCCGATACGTCCAAATTCGAATACTGGTGTTTGATTTTGTCATTTGGGAGTTGTAGTTGCTGGGGTTTATAGTTAACCTACAATCAAAGAGCATTCTGAACTCCACCAATGATGGAATTGAACCAAACCTGACACACAGAACTCCCATGACCAACAGAAAACACTGGAAGGGTTTGGTGGGCATTGACCTTGAGTTTTGGAGCCGTACATGCAGAGAGCACTGTGGAATCAAACAATGATGGATCTGGACCAAACTTGGCACTAATACTCAATATGTCCAAATGTGAACACTGGTGGAGTTTGGGGAAAATAGACCTTGAACTCCACCATCAACAATGGAATTGGGCCAAACTTCCCACACAGAACCCCCATGACCAACAGAAAATACTGTGTTTTCTGATGGTCTTTGGCAACCCCTCTGACACCCCCAGCGGCCCCGACTCTCAGGTTGAGAAAAGTTGCATTAGACCCACTTATGTTTCATCCTTATCACCCATAAGGCCAATTACTAGGATTAAATGAGGACTAAATGGTAAGTTTGTTCTTGGATATGGTCGTTTCAGCTTCCTTTGAAGTGTACTGTATTTATTTAATAGGAAACTTGGCTGTGATAGGGAAACATTCATTGTTTTGCAACTGAGCTATCACATTATAAAGATGTTATATAGATTAGTCACCACATTAGTTATGTCAGGATGGAATCAAGCCTTTCTTGTGACTATTTTGTACTTATTTCACAAAGATAATCGACTTTTTTCTCTAGCTTCCTGTATGTGTCCTCCTAAAGCAGTGATTTCTATTCTTGGATTGCTAGATGTTGTTGAACTTAAGCTCTCAGAAGGTGTTGTAGTCCAAGAACATTTGGGCTACCAAGGCTAGAAATGAAACTTTCCATGAATTCTTCTGTTTTGTAATTTCCATAATTTCCAATTATATACTCTGGTGATGTGTGGATTAGATGACAATTCTAAATCTCCAAAACCAAATAGTGAGAGAAATAAATACAGATTTTTTTTCAGCATACATTTGATTGGCTCAGTTGGTCTTCTCCTCTGAAATAACTTACCATGAGTGCTTACTCTTATTTTCCTTACTTTATTGCAGCCTCCAAGGCCCCTGAGTGATTTCAGTTCTGTAACAGCAGGACGAAGTCTCAGCCCTTTTCCTCAGGAGACCATAGAAGCGTTGACTTCCCCTCAACCAGAACCAAGAAGGAGACCTATCTCAAGAACTCCATCTGCTGGTAAGATGGGAGAGAAGAATCACAAGCCAGGTTTAGAAAATTCACTGGTAGACATTTTCCCATCATGAATTGGGATTCTGTCCAAAGTAGTGCTGAAACCTAGGTCTGGATGAGTGCTAAGCCTGAATAGTGAAGACCTTGTGTAATTAAAAGTGTTGAATTAGAACTGGGGAGATTCAGGCTCAAAACCTCAGTTAGCCTAAAAGCTCACCTTGGACCTAAGGCTGACTCATAGATCTTCATCATATTATACTGTTATTTCTATTCTATTTCACTTTACCGGCCATGGTAATTCCATGGCGTTCTGGTTCAGTGAGGCCCAAGAGCTCTCTGACTGACAATTATTAATATACTGCCCCTGTACAGAAGTTGATTATAAATTGTATGATTTTAACTGTATTTGTGTTTAGATTGGCTGCACTAATGCTGGAGCGGCCTAACTGAGAGGAGTGCGTTGCCATGGAGACGATGTAGGCTAGAGAGAGAAGTGGGAGGAGCTTAGAGGGGAGAGTTTGAAAAACGACAGTTTATGTTCAGTTAGGGTTTAGCAGTGAGGAGTTAGAGTGAGGAGTTGAGAGAGAAGGAGAGGAAAAGGTGGCTGAGTGACTTGTGAAGCAAAGTTTCGAGGCTTTGGAAAGCCGGGTCTGGCTATTGAAAGTTTCTCTGGCTAGGGTAGCCGAAAGGGGGAAACATAGCCGGAATTCTTTAGTCCAAGGAGAGGCTAAAGAATAGCTTATTTAGAATTTGATCTAGGAAGGATCAAATAAGGGAAATATCCCTGTATTGATACTTTGTCTGAAGCAAGCGCTCTACGTCAGGAAGATACTGTGTTACTTTAAAGAATGAACTGTTAAACTTACAAGCATTGTTCTAAGTTCTATAAGAAAAGTTACAACTTGCAACCACACGCTTTGTGCTCAATAAACTTGTTAACTTTTGTTTGAAGACTGCCTCACCTCCATCAATTCTGCGTCCAGTGTGCCATTTCTCACAATATTATAACTTACCTCACGTGGTGGCAGAAACGCAGGGGAAAGTGACCAAATAGATATACATTCTTATCTCCAGTCACGCTACAATACATACCGTTTAATTACTACTAAGTTATTACTATCTTAATAAAAGAAGAGGTGCGATTGAACAGCCTCCCTTCTAACTTGATGGTAAATTTGGTTCCTTTCAAATTGGTAACAACAATAATCATCCCTAGGCTCTCCTGCTCCTGCGCAGCCCCAAACTGCAAATTGCATTATTCCATATGATGTTGTCATTGGCAGCTCAAGTGGAATAATAGTGCTATGACAGTGTAGTGCAATAGGGCCCTTAAGTAATTTGAATGGATTTGTGTGAGGAGATGGGACAATTATGTGTAACTTTATCTCTTGGAAAGAAGTCAGAACATAAATATAAAGAATCAATAATAAGTAGATATGACCACTGGTCCTTGTTGGCATATCGAAAATCATGAGTAGTTCACATTTTATCCACATATTTATCCACCAAAAATGCCACACAGATGATCAGAAAAGAACAAGATGTTTACTTTTTGAAACAGTAATGCAGATTTATACATATACATTCATGTGAACAATTGCATTGACTCACACAACATCCTTTGAGAGAGATTCAAATTGGTCTTTAGGTGTCCATGTGGAAAATTCCCTTCCAGCAGCTCATGAAGCAAGAACTCTTTCCCTCCCTCTCTCTCTCTACAAGCATCTGCACAGCTCAAGCCCTAAAATGTAACTGTTGCCAAAAAGCCCAGGCTCAGCTAGCTCCCTAGGCGTGGCCCAACCAATAGCTGAAACCAATAGCTAAAACACTCATCAACTGATTTCTTACAGTCTCCAACAATCCTGACAATAGAGTTTCAGCCACATCATACAGGAAATTTCTCTTTGGCCATTTGGATTTCTCTTTGCTCTTTCTGGCTCTCTTGAACGCCTCCCAAACCTGCAAGGCACATGAGAATGCAAATGGGAAAAAGAATCCATTCAACCATCTACTTCCATTTTTGCTGATGGACAGTTGATGCAATCCATAGAGAGAACCTAGGAGACAAAAAGTGTCATTTATCCTGTTTGTGGTTAAACCCAGGGGCGGCTCAACCCATTATGCAAAGTAAGCATTTGCAGTATAGTTGATTTTGCCCAGGGGCGCTCTTGAGGCGCTCTTGGGGGAAAATAGACCTTGACATATGCGAGTTGTAGTTACTGGGATGTATAGTTCACCTACAATCAAAGAGCATTCTGAACTCCACCAATGATGGAATTGAACAAAATATGGCACACAGAACTCCCATGACGAACAGAAAATATATATCAGTGATTGGTTGGGGGGGGGGGCCAAAATACTGTTTGCTTACCGTCGAAAATTACCTAGGGCTGCCTCTGGTTAAACCTATTTGTTCTAATACGCTGTCAGAGCTGGGATTCTTCAGTGATGCAATAGACGGGCTCTGAAAATCTTCCTTTCTTTCTAATTTACAGGTTCCCTCTCCACTGGTCAACGTTCCCGTTCTAGTTCCTTGGGAGAGAAGACAACAGGAAGAGGAGAAGTGGGAACTAAAGAAGGGAGCAGGAGCACTGGGCAGAGAGTCCAAGCAATAGCAGCTCATGTCTCTGGCTCCAACCAGACCCTTTTGCAATTCAGCGTTGGGGACATTGTCACCGTGCTGATACCGGATGCACAAAATGGTTGGTTGTATGGGAAGCTGGAAGGTACATCCATGTAAGTCTGCCCAGATATGAGTCAATGGATTCTGTTAGGATCAAAAGTTCTTTGGCATAAAGGGCTTCAAATCATTTGGTGAGATCAGGAGTATAAGAACAGAGGTGAAGAGAGTAGGGCTCCACCAAATAATTCTCCACCTTCTCTTCCATGAAATTTTCCCTCTGTCCCCAAAATTGTATCACCTCAGTAACAAAACTTCATTTAGAAATATGGTATAAGCATCCAAGGAAAAGTGATTGGCAAAGTTCCCAGGGAAATACAATGATCGCAGATCAAAGAGATACAAACAATTTTCAATGTACCAGTCTCTGCAATGCTAGAAATCTGGGGACTGGAGTAAAATTTACTTGTGGGGGCAGACGTCCTATCTGGAGGATCAATGTCACTAGCTACAACCATTAGAGAGATTTACCGTATATATTGAAATATAAGCCGACCTGAATATAAGCCAAGGCACTCAATTTTACCACAAAAAACTGGGAAAACATATAGACTCAAGTATAAGCTGAGGGTGGGAAATGCAGCAGCTACTGGTAAATTTCAAAATAAAAATAGATACCAATAAAATTAAATTAATTGAGGTATTAGTAGATTAAATGTTTTTGAATATTTACATAAAACTGTAATTTAAGATAAGACTGCCCAACTCTGATTAAACTATTATTCTAACTTTGTTCAATGTAAATGTGCTTACGTATCCTTCCAATAATAATAAAGAGAGTAAAATAATAAATGTAATAATAATAATAATAATAATAATAATAGAGTAAAATAATAGAATTGTAATAATAGCAGTAATAATAGAGTAAAATAATAAATGTAATAATAATAGTAGTGTAAAATGATGTAAATATAGTAACAATAAAGTAAAATAATAAATGTAATAATAATAAATAGAGTAAAATAATAAATGTAATAAAATAATAATAGAGTAAAATAATGTAAATGTGATAATAACAATAAATAGAGTAAAATGTATTATTTTAAACAGAGGCTGGATGGTCACCTGTCGGGGTGCTTTGAATGCAATTTTCCTGCTTCTTGGCAGGGGGTTGGACTGGATGGCCCATGAGGTCTCTTTCAACTCTATGATTCTATGATTCTAATAAGAAGAATAATCATAACAACCGAGTAAAATAATAAATAACTATAATAAAAATAATAAAAAGGGCTGAAAAACTCAGCTTATACTCAAGTATTTACAATAGATCATCTTGAATTAATTATAAATGGACTCTTCTCTCATGGGTGGGTTCTCCAACTCACTTCCAGCCATCATGGTCAAGTTCACTGAATTGACATCCACTGAGTGACCCAAAAAAGTGGAGTAAAATTTGTTTGTCCTTCTGCCATAATTTGAAGAGTGAACACCCCACAAAAAGAAATTGTGTTTTAGGGGAAAGGATCAGACAAACAAAAAATACAATAGACCTTCGATATCTGCTGGGATTTGGTTCCAGGACCTCCTGTGGATACCAAAATCCACGGATATTCAAATCCCATTATATACATAGCATAGTAAAATAATATCCCTTACACAAAATGGCAAAATCAAGCTTTGCTTTGTGTGTGTGTGTATTTATTCAAGCCATTATTCTGTAGAATGTGAATCTCTGGAAATGGAGAACTGACTGTACAGTATAGGGTGTTGATTTATGTAGAGCAGGGATCTCAAACTTTTTTGAACAGAGGGCCAGGTGACAGTCCCTCAAACTGTTGGGGGGCCGGATTATAATTTGAAAAAAAACCATGAATGAATTCCTATGCACACTGCACATATCTTATTTATAGTACAAAAACACTTTAAAACAATACAATAATTAAATTGAGAACAATTTTAACAAATATAAACTTATTAGTATTTCAATGGGAAGTGTGGGCCTGCTTTTGGCTGATGAGATAAGATTGTTGTTGTTGTTGTTATGTTGTTGTTGTTGTGTGCTTTCAAGTCGTTTCAGACTTAGGTTGACCCTGAGCAAGGGCTTGGTAAATGACCTTGGAGGGCCGTATCCGACCCCCGGCCCTTAGTTTAAGGACCCTTGATGTAGATGTTGCCACATGACAGGCAAAAATCTTTTTAAAGGGCTTTAGATTGGAAGATTTTGAAGAAAGAGTTTTTTAAGAAGCTACTTTATTGATAAAAGCAGGTACAGTTTTACCTGTTTTATTATATTTAGCTATCTGTTTTAAATTATTTTGATACTATTAATAGTTTAATTCTATTTTAATATGGCCTTTGATATATTTTAGCTATATTGTAATCATTTTTATTTGCAAGCTGCCTGGAGTCTCCAGCTTGGAAAAAGGTGGAGTATGTATAAATCTGGTGGCGGTGATTGTGATTATATATCCTTGGTTTTAGGAGTGGCTGGTTTCCAGAGGCTTTTGTGAAAACACTGGAGGAAACAAGAGACCCCGAGGAGATAGCAACAAGGTATTGTCATCTTGAATAACCAGTGGCAAAGTCCCTTTATCTATTATATTATTTGTCCTGTGAAGAACTGGGTTTAGATCCCCAGCCAGCTCTGAATCTTATGCAGGATGCATTTACCAGTGGTTCCCAATCTTTGGTTCTCCAGGTGTTTTGGACTTAAGCTCCCACAATTCCTAACAGCTGGTAAGCTGGCTGGGATTTCTGGGAGTTGAAGTCCAAGACACCTGGAGGACCAAAGGTTGGGAACAACTGATACACTGTAGAATTAATGCAATTTGACACCTCTTTAACTTCCATGGCTCAATAACTAGGGAATCATGGGATTTGTAATTTGGTGAGTTACCAACACTCCTTAGCAGAGAAAACTATAGCTCCCAGGATTCCATAACACTGAGCCGTAGCAGTTAAATTAGTGTCAAACAGCATTGATTCTACAGTGTAGATATACCTGCAGTCACTGTTGCTCAGTCAGGGCTACTTCATATGGTTGCTGTTAAGATAAGAAAAGAAGATGAGTTAGGAAAAATATATGACCACTTTCATAATGGGAGGTTTAAAGATCAAGACAAAATAAACAAGCGTACTTACTCCTTTCCATTTCCAGAGCTTGGAAAAGTTACCTTTTCTGGGCTATGACTCCCCAGATCTCCCAGAAAACAGAGCTAGTTAGTTTTTTGAAAAAGCAACAGTCCAAGGCTTTGTTGCACCTGCCTTGATCATCTTTCCCTCTTCCTGTTTGCTCAGAGCCTTCCCTCTGCGGAGCACTCACAGCAATGAGGACCTCCTGGATCGACCTAGCGCCCCTCCTGACCACTGGCACAACCACAGCCGGCCCCAGTCTCCAAGCCCTTCTCTTCCATTGATGGCAGGCAGCCGACGGAGCAGCACGAGTAATGCATCAAGCACCACAGACCCCAAGGTAAGGTTTCGCAGTAATCATATTCGAGGTATATGAAAAGGGCTTTTTTTTAACCACAACAGATCATAGAATTGAAGAGACCCTCAAAGACAGTGCCATCTTCTGCCAGTGTAGGAATCCATAGCTAAAACATCCCTGATAAATAGACTGCTACACTGGCAGGCAAACTCTTACCACTTTGTGCTTCTGGAGAAGTGATACCATATGTTGAGAGCGTTTGGCAAGAGGAATGGTTTTGGTCAAGTTCACACATTACCCAGGCAATATGGCACCCATGAACTGGTTTTGCTGACTAAGGGATTCTCTGGAATACAAAAGATTGACTTTTCCAAGCTCTGCAACAGACTGTTGCCCTAGAGTGTAGCTTCAGGCTACTGTAATACCATATGTAAGAGCCCGGTCCAATCATCCAAATGATAGGCTTCATATAGTGTTGGAAAGTAAACACATGGTCACTGTATGTGGCCAATAATATTTGACAGTTAGTGGCTGTAATAAACTAGCAACAACAAAAACAACTATTTATGCTTGCAGGCAGTGCAGACAAAGCCACATGATTCGAAACACCATTGTAATTCGGTAATAATGATAGCTCTGACAGAAGGGCATGCATATTAGAAGATTCAAAAAATAAATTAGCATAGGGTTTTAGATATATTGACATAGTACACACAATCTGGGTTTACCCAAAAGGTTGTTGTGGTTATATCTAGCTACAGGGATATTTTAAAATAAAAATAATATATTTTTGCTGAACCAATGCACAATTTGTTTTATAGACAATAATTTGGGTGTCATCCAATATGGTCCACACACACCATGCCCCTGTAATGCTGCCACCGGCTGGGAGTGACTTGAATTGAGAGTCCCTATTTGTCCTATGACACCAACTTTCACTGCTAATCAGAGTTCTTCTTCATAGTCTCTGTGAAATTGCACATATGGATCTTATGCAGAGGTGCAAGACAGCTCAGAATTCTCTATAGCTTTAAGAAATTCTTGGTGGCTCTTATGATGCAGATATGTTGGGTCAACACAAGAGTAGACTTCTCATGGATGACCACCAAGCCGAGTCTCTGGAGCAGAGACAAGATGGACACAAGGTGAGCCTAGATCTGGTGTCAGCCCCAAGGAACCCATCATCAATATAAAGGAGCCACCTTCATGGCCTTAAGGCAGAGGCGAGCTGCCCAGATACTGTACAAAGGCCAAAAGCAAGAACATTAAATGAATATGCCTAGCACCCACCCAAAAAGAGCAAATCCTATGATGCTGAGTCCTGATAGAAATATGAAAATAAGCATCTTCCAGATGGCCCATTGCAAATCAGGCGCCCTTCTTGAGTAATGGCAGAATGATAGACAATGTCACCATTTTGATGTTGTGTGGCTTAATGTAATAATTAAACATGCAAAAGTCTAAGACTGGACAAAGGCCACTGTCCTTCCATTACTCTTTGCTTCCAGAAACAAGAAACATCTGGGATATTCTGGTGGATTGTGCCTTTCTGGAGCAAGGCCTGTATCTCCTTCCTTAGGGGGTGAAGGGGGTGTAGTCTGAATGCACACAACTGGGGAAAGGCTAACTAACTGGATGGCATAGCCAGTTCTGACAATTTCCAAGACCAAGTGGTTCATCATGCTTTTGCACCATGCCTCTAGATAAAAAAAAAAGGGGGGGGGCAATCTAGAAAACATTGATGCCAGAGTGAATGATGAGGCAACATCACCACAGGCCACACAGAAGAAAAGTCAAACAAACCAAAGGCCAATATGGAAAGAAACTGCAGTAGGCAGGAGATTCAATACTTAATAAGGAAACTTATCTAAGAGAAATCCCTTGCTCCTGCTAACACTGTGGACAAAAAGGAACTGAGATGCTAGCCCCACCTGATAGTTATATCCTCCAGGGCAGGGTGGGTGGAGCTACTTTCAAGGGTTTCTTAAAGCTATAGAGAATTCTGAGCTGTCCTGCACCTGCACACAAAACCTATATGTGCAAATTTCACACATGACAACTCGAAGAAACATGGTTCCTGTCTGATGAGGCAATAACAACAATCAAGTGTGTATGTTTGTAACTGAGAGATGTATGAGAAGGGGGATACTGAATTCTCTGTCCCACCCTAAAACATGTGAACAAGTTAGAACAATTGTGCTATCTTTATTACATCAAGTATTTTTGCAGCAGCATCTTCCTTGCAGAGATTAGGACCACCTAGACCAGTCGAATGGAATTAATGTACACTTTTGAAAAATGAAGTCAGCAGCCGCAGATACCTCCAAGCAGCTGGAGGACTGCTTGGAGTTTAACTTCTCTCCTGGACATGGTCCTAATGAAAATTGCTTCCCCAAATCTTTTATTTACATTAGGAGGGAAGCGTCCATTGGCACCAATGGAGGTTTGCTTCCCTTCCAATGCAAACAGCATGTCAGTTGCATTCATGCTGTTAACCTTACACCTTGTGTGGCCCTAAATGGCCAAATAAATTCCCTCCAGTTCTCTCTTGGTAGCCTTCTGGATCAACAGAGCCTCTGACAGCTTCAGTGATTCTTCTTGTTACACCTCCTTCTGGTCCTCATTCAGGCTTTTTGGTGGGCCTCCTCTGAGCTGTTTTTCTCCTTTAGATTGTATTGGCCATTCTTTGCCTCAAAGGAACTCTTCTTGGTCTGCCTCTAGCCCATTACTTCTCTCCATGCCAATCATGGTCAACGTCTTTTTGGGAAGAGTCTCAGTCACTTCTCTTTCACTTCCCAGGGTCCCTTCAGTTCCCTCCTCTTCTCCATGACATCCCAACCTGATTTTTGGTGGCTCCGGGGCAGCACCTCTTTCTGCTAACAGTAGGACATTGAGTGTTGAACTGGGGTGGTGTCTGGCCATCGGAGGGAAGTGCCTTCCTTGTCTGTCTTTCTCTGTTGGGTACTTTGGGGTTGGGGTTGCCTTTTCCAAAACGGGCTTGAAGAATAAGAAGCTCCAGAAGTAGATCAATGCTAGTAGTACTGATGGAAACTGAGGACTTTGAAGTTTCTGATGAGAATTAAAAAAAACAACAACATCTTAATGACTGGAGATGGGAGACCATAGCTCAATGGAAGAGTTCAAGACTTTACATGTAATGGAGAACATTCCAGTTTCTTTCCCAAACCAGTCCAAATAAAACATCTTGAGCTACAAGAATGAAAAACATATATCTTCAGTATCTTTGACTTGGAATAAATAGTGTTATGTTGCAGAGTTGAAAGATCCAACTCAATATAAAGAAGTTTGTATGTTCATCTATAAAAGCAGTAAGAAGAATCAGAAATCTGCACAGTCCAGAGATGCATTTCATAGCATAGCTTAGAAAGAAACCAAAGGAAAACATCTTGCATAATCACTGCCAAAGTACCTAATGCTGTGTGCTTATGTTTGTGTGAACACAGCCTTGTGTGTGATGGGGTTGTTGAAACGTATTTACACATTCCTGTAGACTGAAATCAGCTGTAAGCCAAAAATCTCATTCTGCCCTGTTATGTAAGCTTTCCATGCACAAGGAAATATATGTTTAGGGAAACCATTAGGAGCAATAGTATACATTTTAGATAAGACAAGACTAAAAAGAATTCCTGGATTTATGAATGTTGCCATATCTAGACAGATTGGAGAACATACTGTGATGTGGGTAAGGCAACTTGGGTTGATGGAGCCCTTCCTGGTGGGGTGGAGAGCTGTCCCATGACTGGTGTTATAACTGAGGTTGCAATGCAGCAGGTGCTGTGGCATGCCATTTTGCTCCAAAGTACACTGTCAGTGTGCAGCACAGAATGTCCTTTACTTTTGTAGAAAGGAGAAGAGATTTAGAAGAAAGCTTTTGAGTACTTCTAGATCAGTAGTTCTCAAGCTGTGGGTCCCCAGATGTTTTGGTCTTCAACTCCCAGAAATCCTAGCAGCTGGTAAACTGGCTTGAATTTCTGGGAGTTGTAGGCCAAAACATCGGGGGACGCACAGGTTGAGAACTACTGATCTAGAAGTACTCAAAAACTTTCTTCTAAATCTGGATAAGACAAGACAAAAAGAAACCCTGGATTTAAGAATTAGGTGGTGTAGTGAACTGACACAGAAGAACTTTGACAGGTGTGATAGAGGAAAAGTGACTTCAGGATCAGGCGCCAGGTAAGGTGGCACCACACTTAACAATAAATAATTTCTTCCTTCTAATTTCAGCAGGCAAATTTTGCTAGAGGTAGCATCTTCCTCTTCTGGGTGGATCAAGACATTTGCAAATATATAAAATGGATCCTTCAAAAGCAAGTTCACACAATCACAGAAACATAGGTGGAAGAGACCACAAAAGACCATAAGATGGAATACACAGTTAAACCATTCCCATCCAGCATCTGTTTAAAAATCTCCAGAGGATACTCCACCACACTCTGAGACAACATATTCCATTATCAATGGTTCATACAAACTATAAACCAGATCTCACAGCCTCTGAGGATGCTTGCCATAGATGCAGGCAAAATATCAGGAGAGAATGCTTCTAGAACATACCCAAAAAACCTACAACAACCCTATGAACCAAAACTCTCCTTATGAACCAAAAATAGGGGGAGGGGAGGCTAAAATAGAAGAACACTACTTGGCACCCTTCTGACTAATTTAATAGAAAGGTTTTGGTTCTAGTCACTCAGTAGATTGGATCAGAGGCAGCCAGGAAAGTGCCATATAGAATAGAGAATAGTAATACACACACACACAGACACATACACACACGCACACACACACACACACACACAGAGGTTTTAAAAAGGAATGATAGTTTATGAATTTGCAGCCTTTACAAATAAATTGAGGTTTACTAGACTAAAAGCAAATTCATATTATCAAACCAAAGGCCTGCAGTTTTCTTTGAGGCTTATGATCTATAATGCATAAGCAGGATCACCCCCAACACTGAACACATATTAAAACCCCTCTTTTTGGAGTATTTTTAATACCAAATTGCTTTGGCTAGGTTAAAACACGGCCACCTATACACATGAGAAAGGTTCTCTGCGTTTGGAGACAAGTTGTATGATTGAGTGTGCCTTTACCATTTTGTGCAGCCATGTCTGCATTCCACTTTTGCTTTACACAACTCAGATGGAAGGGCAGAATACTGAGGTGTCCATTCTCTGTATAGCCAGAAATCTTGGTAGAGTAAGACTACATTGTAGGATCATACCTACAATATACACATCTGACCTGCATTTTCTGTGATGTTGGTGGGTCCAGAAGGAAAGCATGGATCTGGTCTCTGTGGAGTGGATATGCTTTGTATCTGTGTCTGGACTGCTTTGAAATCAGTGGTGTAGACACCATCTAAGCTTATATATATGTGTGTGTGTGTGTTTGGTGTGTTCCTTCCTGTCTTGTGTTGCCTCTGCTGAAACCTCACAGACTATTCTGCTCGCAGTAGTCACCATATTTTTGCTTTGTTGCAGAAGCCGGCAGGATGGGAGCATCCTCCGGAGCTGTTCCCCAAGTAAGTCTGAACTCTTGCTTGAAAATATCTGTATTCTCTTGAATAATCTACTTTTAATATTTAATATTCTCCCTGGATCGCTTTTTCCTTTGATAAAAAAGAAAAAAGAAACAGGCAGTGAATTACCCTGGTGCACTCAGAGGCATTTTTCAGAGATGTAATTTCTTCCTTTCCTTTCCCTCCATCTAGAGGCACCAACCCTTTTGCCACGGTCAAACTGCGCCCAACTGTGACCAATGATCGATCAGCGCCCATCGTCAAGTGAAAGCTGGCTATGGATTTGGGTCATTGGTGGCAGTCAAAGATGTACAGGACGCTTCTTCGTCTTGAACATGGGTCAACACCATGTGCAGAATGGATTCTCTTAAGTGAAAATGGGGCAGACTTTGAGCCTGACATATTGTACCTGCTTTGATCTGGGACTTTGGTTCTTTTTGCTACATTCTTTTTGAACAGGGTTGGGAAAGATGACGAAATACAATTGTTGACGAAATACAATTCCCATCACCCCTCACTATTTTCAGGGGATGATGAGAATGGGGGTCCAACAGTATATTCAGGATCTTCCAGTATGGTTGATTATGTTTCCACACAATGTGCATTTGTTGGCATGCGTTTTGCAGAGATTGTTTTTTGTTTTGCTGTTGAGGGCATCACATTTTTTGAGTGATCAAAGGTTAATAGTTTGTCTTTGGGAGGATACCCTACATTTCCTAGCCAAAACAGTATCTTTATGGCTTTTGTGTAGTCTGATCGTAAGAATGTGATCAACACCCATAGGATAGCACAAGTATTGGCAAACCCAGGCCTGGATGCGGGCCCTTGGGCTCTTTTCTCAGGCCCTCCTCTCTCTCACCATCCTATCCTATCCTTCCTTCTCTTTTTCCTTCCTCCTTCCCTCTCTCCCTCTTTCTCCCTCCCTCCTTCCTTCCCCTTCACCCTTTTGTCCTTCCTTCCTTCCCCCTTTCCTCCCTCCTTCCCCCTCTCTCTTTCTCCTCCCTCCCTCCCTCCCTTCCCTTTTGTCTTTCCTTCCTTCCCTCTTTCCTTCCTCCTTCCCTCCCTCCCATCCTTACCTCCTTCATTCTTTCTCCCTCCCTCCTTTCCTTCCATCCTTTTGTCCCTCCTTCCCTCTTTCTTCCCCCCCTCCATCCCCCCTCTTTCTCCTTCCTTCCTTCCTTCCTTCCTTCCTTTTTGTCTTGTCTTCCTTCTCTTTCCTCCTTCCCTACCTTCAGTCTGAGTCCCTCTACAGAGATAGAGAAGATCGGGATATAAAAGTTTTAAATAAAATTTAAATAAATCGCTCTTGACATGAAAAAAAGACTAATATTATATGCAGATCGGATTCACGATTAATGCTGTTGAAATGCAACATATAATGATAAGTGGATAAAAAGTACAAACAGAATCATCATGAAATATGCTTTTGGTATATGCTGAAGAGAGAAGGGCCTTCAGATATCGTTAGTTGTCAGCTCCCGTCAGCCCAAACTAGCATAGCAAATAGCATGGGATGATGGGAATTACAATCCATCACCATTTGGAGGACTACATGATCCTCTCTCCACTTCCAAGATACATTTAAGAGGGCAAAATATGAATGTAGTTCTTAAGCGGCTGAGTGGGAAAAGGAAGGGGCCTGAGGTTGTAAGGAACTGTGGGAGTTGAAGTCCAAAACACCCGGAGGGTCCAAGTTTACCCATGCCTAGCTTAAGCCTATATTATTTTTTGTTTGTTTTGTTTTTTTTTGCTATTGTGGGCAGTGTTGAAGAAAGCAATATCTGCAAGGAGAGCAATAAAAACAAATTTCAAGGAATCCCAGCCAATCCTGTCTATAGATGACATTAGCCATTTAAAGTATTTAGTTCTGAAAGAGTTGAGGGAGGTATCCATTGCACAATGATAAGTCAGATAGTAAAGGCGACTTTTTACTTCCATTAGCAGAAATACTCGAAAGATGTAGATAACTCTGTTGCTAAAGATGGTTTTACTCACCCAGTCCCCTTAAGAGGGCAACCTTATGTTGTGCCCACCTCAATATGCAGAATTTGGAATAGCTCTAGAATTGATGAGGGAGCTGCAGTTGCGTTGCCTAGTTTTCTTCTCTCCTTCCCCGTTTTGCTTCTGTAAATAGTAATAACAAAACTGTTTCATAAAATAAAGAAACTTTAAAAAAAACACACCATCTCCTGGTTCACAGTTTGCATTTCAAGTGTGGCCTTCCAATAAGGGGTGAGGGACATAACATAATTCCAAGCATGAGGACATTGTGGCGGAATGTAAAATAAACCAGGTGTAGTTCCTGTTTGATCAGCCCACACACTGCCTTACCAGAGTAAGAAAATATGTCACACAGGTGAACAATAAAAACAAGTAGTTTACTCTTCTTAGTTCAGAACAACATGCGTACAATATGATCAGTTGCATCAACTCACTAAATGTCCTTGTAGAGATGGTATTTCTTTCTTCATGTGGATAAACCTTTTTTCAGCAGACAAGAAGCAAATCAGTCTTTTTCTCTCTACTTCTCTCTTCATCTTTCTGCACCTGAATAGCTGGACCCTGAACAAAAATGCAACAGTATCCAAAAGTTCCAGGCTCAGCCATCACCCTGGGCATTGCTTGACCAATCAGCTTTGTGCATCCTATTTTGCAGTTGACACACACATACTCATTGATTGCTTGCATGCGCCAACAGACATCTCTTATGGAAAGGAACAGAGAAGGTAAAATGTGTCTGTATTTATTATTTATTTGAAACATTGATATTCCGCCCTTTTCACCCTGAAGGGAACTCAGGGCGGAGCACAGCATATATACAGCAAATATTCAATGGCGGGACATGACTTCATTATATGAATACATAAACATTAAAAACATTTGTCTAAACATTAAAATACATTGTTTAAAACCATCTCGATCATCGTCCGTAGGAAACCATTTTTTCCCTTCTCTTGCTATTTTAGTTTATGAGGAATTATTTTCTCTAGGGAGAGTCATAACAGTGTAATGATTTTTTTAAATTCACAGTATTCATATTCCACCCTTCTCACCCCAAAGGGGACTCAGAGCGGATCAGAGAACACATATATGGCAAACATTCAATGCCGTTATACACTGACAAGACACACAACTGTACATAGACAGAGGTATATAAAGGTTTTCCCATCATTGGCATCTTGGAGGCTGTGCTCAGTTCCGGCCACAGGGGGGTGCTGTTGTCCCATCTTCCCTACTGAAGAGCTTCATTCATAAACTTCCTCCTTGATCGAATTGCTGGCATTTTTCTGGCATTTCTTTATGGGTGCCTTAAATACTTCCCCACTTTTAAGCAGTACCTTTTTATCTAGCCACATGCTGTTTTCGAACTGCTAGGTAGGCAGAAGCTGGGCTAAAGGTCAGGAGCTCACCCTGACCCTGGCTTTGAACAGTTAACCTTTCGATTGGCAAGATTTACTGCAGCTGGTGGTTAACCTGCTGTGCTAAAGCGGACTACAACTCTGGGGAACAGGGTTTGAATCCCATCATGGCAAAAGAATCAACGTGTGCAGAAAGAATACCTAATGCATTTATGGTAATCTGAAGTCTATGAGACCAGCACTGAAGGTAGTTGGAGCTTTGTTTGTTTTTAAAAGGGTGTTTTCAGGTTTTGGCACTGTATGTAATTATAATTTCTGGGTGTTGGTCATGGGCACATAATATTGCAGTTAAGCATTTCTAGCACAGCACAAAGACATAGCTCAGCCATGGGAAGTTGTCAAATATTTTTAACAGGCTCACTAAAACAGATCAGTATGCCATTAAATCTTTTTCTTCTTATTTTTTTTGCCAACAATACTAAAGTGAACACTCACTTGGTCTGCAAATAGTTACATATTCTCCAGAAAAGATGTCCTATTTCTCACTTCTGTATTTATTGATCACTCCTCCTGCACAATGTGTTGTCGAAGGCTTTTATGGCTGGAATCAATGGGTTGCTGTGAGTTTTCCTAGCTGTATGGCCAGGTTCCAGAAGCATTATCTCCTGACATTTCGCCCACATCTATGGCAGGCATCCTCAGAGTTTGAGGGGTCTGTTGGAAACTAAGTAAAGTGAGGTTAATATATCTGTGGAATGTCCAGGGTGGGAGAGAGAACTTTTGTGCACTCAGTAACAACCACCAGATGGCGGCAGGAGCTAGCAGTCTTCTTTCCTCTCTCTTTAGCATTTGGGGATATTGTGCCCTTTAGTGCTTTCAACAATTTATCAAAAAGACCACAGGCATATCTGTCTTGTTGCATTATTCCAAAGATCCAGATCCTGTTCCATATTGATGGAAGGCTGGAGAAAAGAGCAGCATGAGATGGAACACCAGCCAATTTGATGTCTTTCTGATCAGGGAAGAACCATAGAATTAGAAGAGGCCCCCAAGGGCATTCAGACCTATCCCTTGCCGTGCTGGAATTCTTGATCAAAGCACTCTTGACAGATGGCCATTCAGTCATCTCCAGAGAAGGAGAGTCCACCACACTCCAAGGCAACATATTCCGCTATTAAACAGCTCTTACCATCGGGAAGTTCTTCTTAATGCTTAGATGAATTCTCTTTTCCTTCCATTTGAATCCATTGCTCCGTGTCCTAGTCTCCAGAGTTGCAGAAAACAGGCTTGCTGCCTTCTCAATATGACATACTTTCAAATATTTAAACATGGCTATTACATATATTCCCTCTCAACCTTTTGTTCTCCAAACTATACACACCCAGCTCCCTTCCAGACAGGCCCTATATTCCAGGATCTGATCCCAGTTTTTCTGTTTATCCCAGATTATCTGGCAGTGCGGACTCATATAATCCAGTTTAAAGCAGAAAACCTGGGATCAGATCCTGGGATATAGGGCCTGTCTGGAAGGGCTCTAAGTCGCTTCTCACAGGGCTTGGCTTCCAGAACTTGGATAATTTTGGTCACCTTTCTCTAGGCACGTTCTATATCTTTCTTGAATTCTGGTTTCCAGTACTGGACACAATATTCCAGATGACATCTGTCCAAAGTTGAATAGAGGAGGACTATCACTTCCCTTGATCTAGACCAACCTCATTACACTAGAGAACGAATCCACTTTAATTCCTGCTTCTGCCTCCTGCAAAATTCTGGGGTTTGTAGTTTAGTGAGACCTCCCTAAACTACAAACCCCTGAATTTTGCAGGAGGCAGAGACCGGATTTAAAGTGGATTCATTCTCTAGTGTAATGAGGTCCTTAGCCAGCACAGCCAATGGCAAAGAATGCTGGAAGATAAATTCCAGGAGGGACTGGACTAGACATCCTTTGTGGGGCTTTTCCAGAATCTATGATTCTACTGTAAATGGAAAGCAAGTGGGATATAAAACTGGGGAAGCAAAGTATGGCCATGAGTAACAGGAGGTGGGCAGTGCATCTGGAAAACAGAAATAATGATTTACCCTCATGCAAAACCAGCATAGAGTTATAT